GGATTGCTATGCCAGACAAGAATTTGTTTACCGAATAGTGGCATCTAAACTCTATATAACACTTACACAGGAAAATTGAATTTTCAAAGCGGCAGGAGAGCCAAGAAGCAGCCTTGCTGACAGCCGATGAAAGCCGCTCATTATTGAGCGGTAGCCGCGAGAAAGTAGGCTACAACTCAGGTTACCTTTGAGGAAATGGCGTGCACATCGAACTAGAGGTATGCAACCCAAGAGTGAAAGGCAAGGCATAAGCGTGCTTGACGTATGGGTAAATCCCAGTAATACCTCTAATGTTAGATACCCACACTAACTCTCCGGACAGTTTTGATTTTCAAATGCAAAAACGCATATTGTCGAGTTGTCTGGGTATATGTTCTCGGGCGAGAACTTTAAATTGAGAAGCAAGGAGGTTAAAATTTTAGGCGCATATTTTCAGCCCATGTGCGACCCTCCCAATAAAAAATCATTGACCACGCGCACCAGGCGGGCCTGTGCTATCATGCGTTTTTGCAGTATTTCGTGCTGTAATGAGATCGCTTAGAAATCCAGTAGTTAGAAATGTGTTACTTACAGTTCCTTGAAGTCCGAGAAGTTAACTGTCTATGTGATAGTTGGGCAGGGAAAGTCCGCTTAAAATTTCAACCTCTCAGTTCTCGTTCCCGAGAAAGCCATTTTCCCGCCGAAAAGTTTCAAGGGACCATACGTGACAATCATGCCCACTTAAGCACATGAATTTCATAAAATTAATTTGTACATGTGTTGGAAACATTCCCTGAAAATTTCAGCCTCCCAGCTTCCCTGGTCCTCGAGTTAGCAATTCTTCCCGCCAGAAATTTTTACGAGGCCGTATATGAGAACCATGCATAACTTGGGGCTAAATTTGATATTTTCAGTTTTCACGAAGGCTGGGAGCATCTCCTTAAAATTTTACCCACTCAGCTTCCCTGCGTCCCGAGTTAGAAATTTCTCCACCAAAAATTTTCAGGGGGCTGTACGTAAGAACCACGCATCCCCGGGGGCTGAATTTGCTAACTTTAAGTTGTGCATTAGCTGGGAACATGCCCTTAAAATTTCAGCCCCCCAGCTTTTCTGACTTCTCAAATTAGCGATTTTGCGCCAGGAACTCTCATGGGGCCTACACGGAAACCACGCATCCGTGGGGGCTAAATTTGAAATCTTTGGGTCCCAGGTGGACGGGGACATAACCCCATAATTTCTAGTTCTCGAGTTAGCGATTTTCCCGCTAAAACTTTCACCCTCTCGTGCGCGGGGCCCAGACTTGCGTGAGAGTTGGTGCCGCGGTCCTGGAGTGACACTTGGCTGGGAAACCCGTAGGCAAAATCTTAGCGCCGAAGCTAGCTTGGGTGCCGAGTTGAAATAGCCAGATACATACACGCACACACACGAACATACTCACGCACAAACACACCATGGATCGTTACAATATGCGTTTGTATGCGCTTTTGCATATATGCAAATTGCAAAAACGCATATTGGGAAGAGGCTGTGTGTGTGTGTGTGTGTTCGCACTTTCTGTCACCCACTTTCAACTCGAGAAACGGAAAAGCTAGAAGGCTGAAACTTTGAGAGTATATGCTCATACTATGCGCGACCCTCCCGTTTTAATATCATCCCCTGCGGACGCCTGGGTGCCGCGTACGGACGCTTTAAAAAAATATGCAAATTTTTTGGCGGGGAAGCAATCTCGGGGACCCTACAAGGTGCCAATGACGAACATTGACGGATTCGCCCGGTGCGTTCCAGTCCGGGTTGCAATTTGGATGTTAACGTTCACAGACGCACAGGTTTCATGCAAGAACATCTGAAAGAAACGTGAAAATTGTGACAGGGAATGACCTCGAGAACCAGTCAATATGGAAGAGCGGAAATTTGCGAAGATGTTCCCTGTCCATATGTGAGATAAAAATTTCAAATTCAACTATCATACAGACCTAAGTTACGTGTACGGATCCGTCAAAGTTCGTCGTTGGCACCATGCTAACTCGAGAATTAGCGGAGATCCGTATACCTAAGTCAAATTTTGGATTGCCCCGTGACACGCGTTAGGATACACTGAAGATATTTGTAGCGAAGCGGCGATTTCGAACGCCGACAAGTTAGCAGGCGAAAATTTTGCGAGGTTATTTTACATTCACGCGTGGCGTAAAGTTCAGCTCCGAAACACGCCTAGGTTCGTGTTATATGCAAGTAAAATTATGGCACCAATTTTCTGTGCCTTTTGTAAGGAGACGTCAAATGTTCAAACTGCAATTTTTCTACAATTCCGTTCTGGTAAACAGACAAGCAAGAAAGCAATTTTACGCGATTGCTGGCGTACCTTATGCATCACTAAAAACGTAAGATCAGTTTTCATAAATTCTTCTGTCCTGTGTGCAGATGCAGCGAATCTGAGCGTGCATTTTTTTGAGAACCTTTTTTCAAGACAATGCTGAAGGTTGACATTGCACACGGCCACCGTTCCAAACGAAGTTAATTTCCCTCCAGATGCAGGAAAAGACTAATAATCTCACCAACATGAGTGCATCTGTTGTAAAGCATACCGAAGGCAATAGTAAGTGGCCTCAATTTTTGAAATGCCTGTGGTGTATGGGGATGTGCCCTCACCACCAGAAATCGGACCACTGATTCCGATGTTTCCACCCAATATCGTATGTGCAGTCTCAAAGAGGAAACAGCCGATCACATTGCTAGCAGGTGTTCGCGCTGACTGAGCAACCTTCATTTCGAAAGACATAATAGTACTGCCAGCAGCCTCTACTTCTAGCTTTGCCAGCGCTATAGCTTCTCAGCAATACACTACACCAATCAGATACCCGCACTGCGTAAGAACGACGCGGTAAAACTCGTTTGGGATACTGTCATGCTCACACAAGCTCCGATGGCAAACCGACGCCCAGACATTATTGTCTTCGACAACGGAGCCTCGGAAATATTTGTGTTTGAGGTAATTGTTACCCACGCTACCGGTCTCGAAGTTCAGTGAAAGTTCAGAATTAACTGATACACGGTTAATTTAACACTTAAGGAGGACAAAACTGGGCTGGAGTTAATTTCGTATCGGATATAGATAGCCAATATGGCCAAAAAGTAACCTTCGTGCCACAGTAGCTGAAACATGTGGAGAGCATTTGACGGTTACCAAACGGGACCTTTGCGCAACACCGTGGACTAATTCTGATTCTGATGCCGAGATCTGCGGCAATCGGAACATCACGAAACGTTAGGTTCACTTTGCTAATCTGTAAGTTTCGCCGTCTGCAAACGGTAAGTAGGTCTACGGAACTGGATTCAACTTAAAACTAAATATAGATAAAACTTCCATAAAATTTAATGAATTTAACATGAATAACCTTTACATTACACGTCACGACGAACGGCCTCATCCTCACTGTAGCACAACACTTCGAAGTAGCAAATGCAGCCAAAGGTAGGTTGAGGTTATACCCTCCTCCTGTTCTGAGGCCTCATTTTAACACCAGCGCATAGTTCGATATGCTGTACAGGGATACTGTCCCGTACGGCAGAACAGTGCTACAGCGAAAGTGTCACCCAGTAGGAGGAACCTGACTGTTTTCGCTACATTTAGTATGACCTTTGGGTTCTGGGCTGTGGGCAATCTAATTCACAGTGGTAAGGAGGAAATAAAAAGCAACAACCAATCATACTGTTAAAGATCTGACTACCTCAACTTTAGCACAAAACGCATTGCCCCACCGGAAAAACTGGGGCGCGCTGTCACCTGGGTTACAGTTACATATGTAAACAGATGCAACGGCAAACACCCATCGCTCGTTTCATATGAACAGATTCGACTCGCTAAAGTGGGAAGACTTTCCCAATTCAAGAAGCCACTGACCAAAAATTTCCCTGTTATGTGCATGAGCGATATTCTCTCCCCCTCGCTCTCCTGTACATTTCAGTAAAAAAGTCAAAGTTATGCTATATATTTTTTCGATGAGTCTTTGGTGGCCTTTGAGAACCCGAAGGGAAGTGGCATCATGTTTTATAAATGCTGTATGGCCGTGCTTCTCTCATATAATAAAACATTATTTTGTCCTTTGCCATTCTTGTTATTTGATGCGAGAGAAAGAAACAAGCAACTAAAACTATCATCGGTTAGATGTACAGCAACTGCGGCCAACGTATCAGATCTGCAACCACTGACATCTTCATATTCAGATTACGAATTAGTAAAGCAACCTGGCAATCTATCGTTACATTTATTTGGTCAAGAAGTGAAATGCCATACAATTTGCAGCTAAAATCAGTGCACAAGAAATCAATGGAATATCACAGTGAAATCATCAGTTCCCTTAAAGCATTGAAGCAGAAAGACCGTACCTGCTTTTCCAGCACTCCTTACTAGCGAACATGACACAGAGATAGCAAAGACGATGACTGATGAAAAGACACAAGGCCTACGGAGTACTCACCAGCTTCATTGGATTGGGGCGATAAAGGAAGTCGAATAGCGCTCAATTCCGGCATTACACCGTTCTTACAAAATAAATTTTGGTTGGGAGGTGCTGACGACTTCTTCGTTTTTCCAACCCAGACAGGCAAATTTACCCGCGCAATGGTAGTATAAATTCTGAGAGAACCAATCCAGTTCCTAATGACATCTATTAACAATGACACTCTTTTTCTATTTCTGCCATTTTGACTGATTTCAGCGGTTTAGCTCAATTTTTCAGTTCTTATTTCCTGCTGAGCAAATTCGATCCCTTTATACCAAGACAACTGCAGCTTTCGTTTCCTTTCCTTAACCCTCAGGCCAGTAGACTGGCCATTTCGGCGCCTTACTTTCTCCGGACTGTCGAACGAAAAATAGGAAAACAGTATAAATCAGAAAGCGCGGAGCAGTGATTTAAAACAGCCGGATATCAGTTCATTAAAACAAGTATGCAGTTTACAATTGATGCTGAATGATTATGGATACGACAGGAAAAACTTGAGCCAGTTATTAGTATGCGATTAGCTCAGGAGGACGACTTGCTGTTGAGTGAGAATACAACGTCACAGAAGTCAAAGAGATCAACAAAATCGCAAATAATGATGTTGAAGAAAGATGGCTCATCAAATGTTGTGATCCAGACGGTGGCTTCCTTCGTGCACTTTAATGCGCAATGATTTTCGAGTGTGGAAAATGGATGTAGTGACACATCTTTCCACTTTGCTGTCAAAATTGCCTGCGTTACAAAGAACACATTCCTCGGGCCCTTCCGATGATCTCGTAGTGTTCGGCCTAGAAATTCGAATAAGCGATCAGTTCGGTTAACATTTGCATACGGGCTCATGATACAACGCGGTCCCCAGATCCACGATGTGCTTGGCGCTCCTTTTTCAGCAGCCGATATGGCGATCACTTGATAACCGGCACTCCACATACCTGCTAGGCTTATTTTCGTTACATCCTCTTCCCTTGGACACAATTTCGAGCCAAACACACATTCCAGCATTTTCAAGAACTGAGCATATGAATTGTTGTCAAAATTATAAAGATGATTGAAGTCGAGAATGACTATTTCTCGTGAATGGCTATCCAAAAATGCATTGATGTCCACGAGAAACTGCTCAATGCGTTCACCGTATAAAGCATGAAGAACACGGATTCCATCCAACTTTGTCGCCAACGGAACTGTTAATCGAACATCGAAATACCGCACGCCAGCATGAAGTTGTTCAACCACTGAAAACCGCTGGGTTGTTGCCCATCGTCGAATCATACGGCGCACCAGTCGGAATCGCCCGATTTCCCGGAAAAGTCGACTTTTGTCATTCGCTACTGGGCAATTATCGAACAGCGCTTGGGCAAAGGAATCATGCGATCCTGGAAAAAAGAAGTGTGTGACAGGCCGAAATTTCACGCAACACATGTGCAAAAGACGAGAAGCATCAAAAATTCATAACATATAAAATGTGAAAAATAAGGGGACGAGTTATAGAGGGAATGCGCTTTAGGGGAAATATAACTTACTGCTTCTGAACTTCAAAATTGCGTCCGGCTGAAAAAAGTAAATTTCAATGAAAGTGATGAAGGGACCGTGGAAAATCGAACAAACAGAGCGCGGTCAGCGAGAGTGACACTGGACTGCTAAGGTCAATGTCCAGAAACGCCGGGAAATGCCAGAAATGAGCGAAGTGAAGTGAGAAAGGAACAGCAATTCAAAGCACGCACTGCCGGAAGTATGAATTAAAAGTGTAGCGGAACTTCTGAACAAATTCTCACCTGGTATAGCAACATAGACCAAAGGCTTCTGGACCACTTCATGCGGCAGAAAGCTCATCCAATTTTCACCGGTGTGCTGTGTTGAATCGCAGAAACTTTCCGACAACTGCTGCTGCGCTGACATGGGGAACAGCGTGCTCCCGATCCCCTAGCCTAATTCGCTGATAGGCCGGCAAGTGGGGGGTGTCTTGCAGTTACTGCAATATTTCTTCAGCAAGTCGGCTCAGCCACCCAGTAAAGTACCAAATCTGTACACTCACACGAATCACACTTTACCGAGTTTTATAAGCCTCGGAAATTAATGGGAGCAATTTATGCAAATTTGCCTAAGAAAATTTGCGATCACAAGTTGCGCGGTCGCTTTCGGTGCTGGCTTCAGTGATCATCCTATATTATGCTTCAAAAATGCCCGATTCTTTATGTAACTATCAGTGCCTCGATTGGTTGCAGCGGTTTCCGGCAAGCTTCTCTTCTCCTAACAAAAAGCACTTCGGCTTCAGCGGTGTCTTATCCTAACAAGTAACACTCATTGTGGCAACGCCTTCATCTTCAGCAACGGTGCCTCCTACTCGAGAAGAACGTGCTCCTGTTTTGGCGCTTTCCTCCCAATCAACATATGCTACTTACTCATCTGGTTCCGCTAATTATTTTCCTCCGAGATAAGTCCGGCTTCCATACAGTTTTTTCCCAGAACAATTTTTTCCACCTGTCTTTCGATGTCACTAAAGCGCAGCGCAGCGATATCAAGCCTTGTTGACCTGGATTACTTGCTCTTTCATTTCACATGCAACAAGCACACCACACGTGCTCGAATGGTCGCGCACTCTTCTGAGAGTAGCGCGACTTGAAACTGGCTGCCGGTGCGACTGCGAGAAACGAGGGTGTGCTTACAAGAATGCACCTACGGGGGCCCGCTTATTATCATCATTGTTACTATTATTATTATTATTATTTATTATTATTATTATTTATTATTATTATTTATTATTATTTATTATTATCATTTATTATTATTTATTATTATCATTTATTATTATTGTCATTATTATTATT